GATGAGAGGGAGCCCAGTGGGGATTTCAGGACCGATGCCGCAGCTCCAGAGTCGACTAGGAATGAGACAGGTTGACCCCCAACACTGAGAGTAACCCTCGGCTCCAGGGGGTCAAGAGTCACAACGGACTTTGAGCCGGGGCACCCCTAGTCTGTATTCAAAGTCAATAACGGCTCTGCCTTCTCTTTCAGCCCGCGATTAGGGCACTCAGATTTCCAATGACCCATGGCTTTGCAGTAAGCACACTGATCCCGAGCTAAAGGAGGCCTTCCCAAGCCTTTACCCTTATAGGGGCGCCCAGCGTTTGGCCCCTCCCGCCTTCCTTTCCACCCTTGCTTCTGAGCCTCCCCTGGAACCTGTGCTAAAGCTGCCACTACCGCCCTTGCGACCGTGCGAGTTTGCTTGTCTTGAGTCTCTTCACGATAGTCAAACACCCTCTTGGCCACTTCCATGAGTTCAGTCAGATTTTTACCCTCAAAACCTTCAAGTTTCTGTAGCTTCCGACGGATGTCCGGAGCTGAATTGGCTACGAAATCAATTACGATGGCTCTCCGGTTATTGGGATCCTCTGGGTCGATAGGGGTGTAGGTTCGATATGCCTCGTAGAGGCGCTCTAAGTATGCAGCTGGGGACTCATCCTTGCCCTGTTTAACCTCACTGACTTTGGACATATTAGTTGGCTTCCGTGCTGCTGCCCGTAACCCTCCCAGCAATAACTGGCGATACCTGTCCAGTGCTTCCCTACCGCGATCAGTGTTGGGGTCCCAGTCGGGCCGGTTCTCAGGGAAGATGTGGTTGCGGCGCCCCAGGTCAGTAGAGGGATGTCCATCTGGGTCCAGAACTCCCTTCCTGGCTTCTAAAAGAATCCTGTCACGCTCCTCGGTTGTGAAAAGAACCCGGAGGAGCTGCTGGCAGTCATCCCAGGTGGGCTGATGAGTATAAAAGACAGTCTCTAGGAGGGAGATTAGGCTCTGGGGCTTATCAGAGAAGGATGGGTTTTGCTGTTTCCAATTGTACAAATCACTGGTGGAGAAGGGAACATATACCATGAATGGTCTCCCTGATTCTCCGGGAGGGGAAGGAACTTGCCGCAGGGGAAACGCTGACACAGTGGAATCTGGGGTCAAACTGGAATTAGAAGGGCCATAAGGAGCACCTGCTCGAGTATGGGGTGGACTTATCAGAGGAGGGGCTGAGGGGCTCAGAGACCCTGAGGTTGGGTACGGGGGTGGATCTGAAACCTGGGACTGGGAGTACTCAGCTGGATCTAGGGGGTCAGAATCAGGGGGTGGTAAGACAGGAGTAAGCTGTGTGACGACCTTAGGACTTTCGGGAGGCTTGCGGCTAAAGGTCGTCTTTGATTCTGTTCCTGGTCTTAGTTTTGAAAGGGCCTGGACCTGTAGTGGTCCCGAAGGGGGTTTGAAATCAATCCAGGCGGTGATATAGGGGACCTGATCGGGGTGGCCAGGTATACCATAGACAATTCCCCTGACCCGGCCGGCCACCGAGACGTCAAACGTACCCCCCGAGGGCCAGCCTACCTCGAAGGTGGGCCATTCCTGTTGGCAAAGGAGAGCTAATTTCTTTTTAGTAACCTGAAACCCATAACCTTCTGCTATACGCCGATATTGTTTGAAGTCCCGTAAGACAATAAAGAGAGGGGAGCCTGGCTTAGGGCTCGAGGGTCCTTGTCCCATGGTGGATTAAGGACTGAGAAAGAAAAGAGTAACAAATAGACGTGCTCACGTAAGCAAGGACCAAACACGGACACAGGGAAGACACAGTCAAAACAGGGTAGAGGGGAATCAAACTGCCTCAATTCCGAACGACCTAGACAATGAGACAGGAATTTACACCCCCCCTCACGGAACAAATAGTAGATAGACGCGCACACACAGTCGACACAAAAACGGAAAAAAAGACACAGTCAAAACCCTGGATGCTCCTGACACAGTAGCGGAGAACAAACCCGTCTCAGTTCCGAACAACCTGGAGAATGAGGCAGGAAGTCTTTCTCCCCCACCCCGCCACGGAGCGCATAGTGGACACACACACACACAGTGACATCGGCGCCGGACAGACACAATCAGACAGGCAGGACTCTCACACGGCGTCCCGTGGAGGTCAGTAAGGGCGTTGCAGCTGCGTCCAGCCTGGCCACTTACTTCAGAAGAGTACTCACCAGAACAGACAGATTACAGATTGCTCTATGCCCAATTGAGGATTTGTGGTCCGGGCAGCCTGGTACGCACAGGCTATCTCAGCGTTCGGGGCCAGGGAACGTCTTCCTGGTGGCCACCCCCTGGACGGTGAGAAGCCTGGCCTTCCAGAGATGCCCGTGTCTGGTGCCCAGAGGGCGATCTCGGTGGAACCTCCAAATGAAATGGACGGGCCGAGAGTAACCAGACACACGCCAAATTAGAAAATAGAGAGCATTTACTGGAGCCGGCCGGCGACTGTCCCCTGGATGCAATCCTAGGAGAGCAGTCCCAAGCAAGGGAAATAACAAAACTTTATACCCAGCAGTTTACAGTTGTGGATTTAGCAATCCTTTGAGGTAGGGGAATTTACAATTGTAGATTAGCGATCCTTTGAGGTAGAGGAATTTACAATTGTGGATTAGCGATCCTTTGAAGTAGAGCAGTTTACAATTGGGATTAGCGATCCTTTGAAGTAGAAACTGAGGAGGTTAGGCTAGGGGGTTGGTTTTTTTTTTTTGTGACAACTCAGTCCACTTCACTCCCCTCTTTTCACGGACGAAAAGAGTCAGACGGGGGACTCATCAGAGTCCAGAGGAGCATAGGATTGACGCAGGACAAACAACTGGAGTGCTTGCACTCGTTTCTGGACATAGCGGGTGATGCATTTTATGAGACAAGGGGCCACGAGTAACCCAAGGAGGAGAAGGGCCAGAGGGCCCACCACTCCGGAGAGTAGGGTGGTTAGCCAGGGGGACCAATTATATAGGGTCTGATACCAAAAAGACCCCGTTGCCCGTGCGCGGTCCCTCTCATCTAACCGCTGCCTAAAGGCTTGCAAGGACTCCCAAATAACTCCAGACCGATTGGCGTAGAAACAGCAGGTTTCTCCCAACGCCATGCATAAGCCTCCCTGTTTGAGGAACAGTAGGTCCAAGCCTCGGCGGTTCTGGAGAACCACTTCGGCCAGAGAGTCTAGGGAAGTCTCAAGGTGTGAGACTAGCTCTTCCAAGGAGCGTAGGTCCCTATCTACCTGTGCACTCAAGGCACCGTAGTTGGCTTTCCCCTGTATCAGGGCTGAGGCCCCAACAGCAGCGGAGCCGGCCACTCCGAGTCCCACCAGTATGGGAACCAAGAAGGGTACAGCCCTCCTGGAGCGAGTTAAGCCAATATGCTCAGCTGCCCCTTCCTCTGAGTAGACATATACCTGAGGAAAGACACGCACCACTACACAGAGCTCGGTCGGGTTGAGGAAACGAATGTCCTGTATGCAGGTGGTGAGTCCTCTGGTACAAGCGAACCATACTCCAGGTGGGGCGGTTAACAGGAGGTCAGAGCTTTTGGATGTGGGGGAAATAAGAATGACTGAAGTGCACGTAGCGTTGAATGGGGAGGACCGCAGCGGGTAGTCAGGCCCGAGCAAACACATTCCTTTGCCCTGGACATCGTCTAGGGTAAGTCTAGGCTTGTCTGGGTTACAGTGGGCAGGTATGGCAGAGGATTGTTTGGACTTACTTAAAGACAACTTTCCCACAGAGGTGATGTTGAGTTCGATAGCAATTCCTACGAAATAGGGGGGAGCTGGATTCAGACACAGCCAACAGGAGGTGGTTATGTTTGGATCAGACAAATTTAGGAATGAGTGGACAGCAGAGAGTGTATCAAAAATGGGGGAACCTAGGTTAGTGAGGGTCTCTGGATTTTCGGGAGCCTCTGGTACCAGGTCCCTAACAGATGGTGGGGCGAGAGTCAACATGGCTTGTGGGTTAAGGATGGGATTCGGTCCTATGGGGAGTGTATGGGTGGAAACTGCGATTTTCTGAATGGTAAAAAGGACCCCGTTATCCCATCCAGTCATGTATAACCTCAAACCCCAAGAATGTCCGAGATTCCAAGAGTCATCAGTGTCCTGCTTGACTGTTAGAATCATAGGGTTACATTTCCCAGGCCAGCAGGAGGCGGGGAGGGGGCTTTGTCTCTCCAGGGTGATTAGGGGGTCTCGGCCACCTCTAGGAATCCACCTGGCCACAGTCTCACAACCCCATTCTGCGCAGTGAAAGTGATTACTACCCTGACAGGAAGGATTCCCCGTGGCCGGACAAACATAGAATTCAATACTTCTGATTCTCACTTCCCCTACCCCGGGTATGGTTGGAGTGGTGGGAAAAGTGGGGCAGTATCCCCATCCCCCAGCGATAGGGTCCCGCATAGCCCGGTTTTGATTCCATCCTGGTCCCAAGAGGGCACAGAGGTCAAACCTGAAAGTGGGGGCTCCGTAACTGGTGAGAGCTTAGACGGTGGTCCCATCGTTAGTTCGGGAGAGAATCCACCTGGATGGGGTAGGGCTATAGGGGTCACCCAAAGTCATCTCACAAGCAAAAAGAAAGAGAAGAAGAGTCAAGTTCTGGAGAGTCGAAGCTTTAGGTCGGACACTGCTTCTGCTGTCCAGGCGGTGGAGTTGGGCTCTGGGGCCTTCTTGATGTGTGACCGATGTATCCATGCCTTGCGGCCGGCAACCTTGACGGCAGAGGGGTTGCAGAGGATAATTTGATACGGGCCCGTCCACCGTGGTTCCAGGGCTGGTCCAGCTGGAAGCTTGCGAGTGAGGACCCAGTCTCCCGGTGACAGGGCATCCGATGAGGTTGCAGGGGCTGGTTCTTTCCCCGCAGCTTTCAGGACCGAGCGCACAGCGTTCTGGACCTCACGCAAAGCCTGGAAGGACTTAAGAAGAGTCGGATTAGTAAAATCTGGGGCTGAAATAGCTGCAGATACTCTTGGAATAATAGGAGGAGGGGCTCCATAGAGGATCTCGTATGGAGATAAAGAGAGGGTTGAGGAATTGGGAGTACACCGGGCCCGGAGGAGGGCGAAGGGAAGGAGACTGACCCAGCTATCGCCAGTTTCTATTTTAAGTTTAGCAATGTGTTCCTTTAGAGTTCTATTCATCCTTTCTACCTGCCCTGAACTTTGAGGCCTATATGCACAGTGCAATTTCCATTTCAATCCCAGCATCTTTGATAGGCTTTGAATTGTTGCAGATACAAATGCTGGGTCGTTGTCAGAGCCTATCGAGGCCGGCAGGCCAAATCTAGGAATAAGTTCAAAGAACAGCTTTTTGGCCACTACGGTTGCAGTTTCAGTTTTGACTGGAAATGCTTCTGGCCATCCAGAAAATGTGTCCACGAATACAAGGAGAAAACGGTACCCTCCCAACCCAGTTCCCATGTCAGTAAAGTCTACTTCCCAATGGTCGCCAGGAAATGTTCCTCGTGGTCTATCAGTTGGTATCCTTGATTGTGATCGTGGGTTGACTTTAGCACGTGCAAGGCACCTTCTTGCGGCTTCCTCGGCCGCCTGCTTCATCCCAGGGCTGTAGAAGTGTCGGCTCACCAGGTCGTAAAGCCGGGTTCCGCCTAAGTGGGTAAGGCTATGAAGAGTCATCAATAGGGGTAGCAACAGTGCCTTGGGCAGAATTAGCAAGCCATTTGGGTGTCTTCTCCATCCCCCCTTTTCAGGGGTGCCATCCGGATCACTGGATTGATAAGATGGTTGGACAGGAAGCATCCCCTCAGGTTCCACGACCATAGCGGGTATCAAGGGTTTGCAGGCAGCCGCTCAGGCAGCCTTATCCGCTGCTGCGTTCCCTAGAGACTGGGGGTCAGTTCCACGGGTGTGAGCAGGAACATGAATTACCGCCACCTCCTTGGGAAGCCAGACAGCATCCAGCAGGTCCTGGATCTGACTCTTGTTCCTAATCTCCCTTCCCGCCGAGGTTAACAGACCCCTTTGGAGATATACATATCCATGGATATGAACAGTGGCAAAGGCATAGCGGCTATCTGTGTAAATATTTACTCGCCTCCCTGCAGAGAGTCTAAGGGCTTGAGTTAAGGCAATGAGTTCAGCACGTTGAGCAGATGTGCCAGGGGGTAGAGCGGTATCCCAGAGGGTCTCAACCGGAGTGACCACGGCTGCACCCGCCCTACGGATCCCCTCCTGAACAAAACTACTGCCGTCCGTGAAGAGCACTAGGTCGGGGTTTGTTAAAGGAACATCAGTAAGTCCAGGGCGGGACGTGTGGATGGAGTCCAGTGTGTCCAGGCAGTCATGTATAGGGGAGGAAGGAGGGGAGTCAGGGAGCAGGGTGGCCGGGTTGAGTGTGACCGGAGGAGCGAAAGAGATGCGCGCGGAATCTAGGAGTAAGGATTGGTAATGAGTCAGGCGTGAATTTGAGATCCATCTTGTTGGCGGGGAATGTAAAAGCTGTTCCAGATGATGTGATGCTGAAATCTCAAGAGGCTGCCCGAAAGTGAGCTTTGCGGCTTCCCTAACCAAGACGGCAACGGCCGCCACAGTTCGCAGGCAAGAGGGCCACCCGGAAGCCACAGGGTCCAGCTGCTTGGAGAGATAGGCAACAGGACGATTCCAGGGCCCCAGGGGCTGGGTCAGAACCCCTTTGGCCACAGCTCGAGACTCAGACACATAGAGGCGGAAGGGCTTGGACAGGTCTGGCAGGGAGAGGGCAGGCGTGCTGGACAGCGCCTTTCGGAGCTTGTCGAATGCTTCCTGCTGCCGTGGTCCCCAAACAAATTGGGTGGGTTCACCAGTTAGGGCCTCATATAGGGGTTTGGCAACCTCGGCAAACCCCAAGATCCAGAGGCGACAGTATCCAGCCATCCCCAGGAATTCCCGGAGCCCGCGGCGGTCCCTCGGGGCGGGCATGCCCAAAATGGCAGCTACACGCCCCCGAGACAGTAACCTTTGACCAGAACGAAGGGTGAAACCCAAGTAAACAACGGATTGAGAGCACAGTTGTGCTTTCTTTCCAGAGATACGGTACCCGGAAGCTTCAAGCAGCTGGAGAAGGTGGAGAGTTGCATCTTTGCATATTGCCTCAGAGGAAGTAGCTAACAAAAGGTCATCAACATACTGGAGGAGAGTGACCTCCGGATACGAGACCCGGAAGGCGGCCAGGTCGGAGGCCAGAGCTGAGCCAAAAAGTGTAGGGGAGTTCTTAAAACCTTGGGGAAGCCAGGTCCAGGTGAGCTGAGAGGATGTCCCAGTGTTAGGATCTGTCCAAGTAAAAGCGAATATAGGTTGGCTTACTGGTGCCAAGGGAATGGAAAAGAAAGCATCCTTCAGGTCCAAAACAGTATACCAAGTCCGAGCAGGGTCCAGGGAAGATAGCAACGTGTACGGGTTTGGCACAGTAGGATGTACAGTTTCCACCCGGGCGTTGACTTCTCGTAGATCCTGGACAGGACGGAAGTCTCCAGACCCGGGCTTGCGAACTGGAAGTAGGGGGGTGTTCCACGAGCTCTGGCAGGGGCGTAGAATGCCTGCCGCCAAGAGTCGATCGATGTGAGGCTTGATGCCCAAAAGGGCAGCTCGAGTCAACAGGTATTGTTGGACACTCGCAGGGGTTGCTGTGGACGAGAGCTGGACCACCACTGGGGGCTGGTGTCCTGCTAGACCAAACGGGTTGGTCTCAGCCCAGACTCTAGGAACCAAGCCTTTGAAATGGTTCAACAGAGTTAGGGAGGTAGGGGTGGAGGTGGTCGAGGGGCGGTCTGGGGAAAACGTTAGGGGGAGGAGGCGAGACTCCTCTGACAACGGGCAGGTGAGAACAAGTTGTGGCAGGTTAAACCCGAGAGTGGGGTTAGGTCCCTTAAAGGAAATGATAGCCTGAAGCTTGTGTAGGAGATCTCGGCCAAGCAAGGGGTAAGGGCAATCAGGCATTACTAGAAAAGAATGGGAGACTAGGCCCTTCCCTAACCGGACTTCCCGAGAAGTGGTGAGGGGTACAGACTGTTTTCGTCCAGTAGCTCCCTGGACCTGCACAGTGGACGATGAGAGGGAGCCCAGTGGGGATTTCAGGACCGATGCCGCAGCTCCAGAGTCGACTAGGAATGAGACAGGTTGACCCCCAACACTGAGAGTAACCCTCGGCTCCAGGGGG